CTGCACTGTGCAGGGGGTCAGACTAGATGATCATAATGGTCCCTTCTGACCTTAAAGTCTATGAGTCTATGAGTCTATGAAACCTTCCATGGAGGCCCAGGAATTAGGATGAGTGATCAGGGAGACATGTATGCTAATTCCACCAATATCTGAATTACTAGAGATAGTAGTTGTGTTGGTAATAGCATGCCTCATAAGGGATAGACTATATATTTGGTCTCAACTCTGGACAAGGGACAGAGATTAGGTGCATCACATCAAAAGAATCTTGGGAAAGAACTGTGACTTCCCCTTTACTCCAGCGGGGAGTATGTTATAGAGCTATTTGCATGGTGCAATTTACTTTCCACCTTGTACAACTGCTCTGTTGGCCAATGTATTATTGCAACAGGCTAATGTATACACTTGTTATTTTACAAACATATTTAGGGAACCTATTTAAAAAAAACACATTTCAGCCCAATGAATTATTATGGTTTAGTCAAGTAAGCTTGAAAACAATAATGTGACGTAGGAAACATAGAGTATTTCCAGAGGGAACAAAATATTCTGGAAAGGAGCACTGAGTAAAACCAAAGCAACCCCTTGAAAATCTGTTAGTAGAGGTAGCTGACTCTGACACTTGCTCTTGAAGTCCAGATGGAGTTTTGCTGCAGGAACTCAGGGAAGTAGAAGTTTGGGTATTTTAGCCAGTCATCTTAGAGTTAGAACTTCAGTTCAGGAAAGAATCGTATTTGCAAGTGCAGATTACTGGGCACCAGAGGAAAAAAAGAACAGGAGGCAAGTCTGTTGAATACCTAGGATACTTAATTAACAGATTATGCACATGTCCTGAAAGGATTTTCAAATTGTTTTGTTACAATAGATTGTTTCTTAAAAATTGTGATAAGAATGCCCTTATTGCTAAGTGGCAAGACTTTTCTTTGTACCATACTAAAGTATACTGTTTCAGGGGTGTATGGTAGTAGGAGTATGTGCTTAGCCTTGACTAGGAAGAACTGAAACTAATACTGAGACCAGTGGTGCAAGAAGACAACATTTTATCAAGTCCTATCTTCCAGCTTTCAAGGATGGGAGATGTGTGGAGAATTATAACCAGAATGGGAATACAAACTTAACTATAGTCGATATAACAGCAAGACGTTATGCCTGTGACTCAATGATCACGGAAAAGCTGATGTGGAATGTATCCCAAAGGATGGGGTTGCTGGACTGAAACCTCTAACGCCAGGAAATCTTTAAGTTCTCTTCTGGATAGCTGACGAGGACAGACAGAAGGAATCTTGGCTGAATGCTTGAATCAGTGTTTCCAAAACTGTGGGATGTGCCTCTGAGGGACGCAAAGAACTGAGGGACCCAGACAGGCTTCAGCTTTATTTTTTAGAGAAATTGTCTAGCTCAGTCCTTCTCAACACTGGTACGAAAGAAGTCTGGGGGGAGGGGGCGGTACGTCAACAAAACTGAAATTTACAGAAAACTGACTTTTTGTTTTAAGTTTTACAGCGTTTTATTATTTTTGTACTTTTTACACCCAAACATTTCATTGCCCACCCGGCTACGATTTTGTTTAAACAAATGTGTTGCAATGGTAGAAAAAAACTTTGTGCGTCTGAAAACTGTAGGTATGGGGGGTACTTATAATTGTTTTTAAAGGGATACTTTATGAAAAAAGGTTGAGAAACACTGGTCTAGCTCTTATGGTTGCAGATTAAACTCAATGCTGATAAATGCAAAGTAAAGTACAGTTGAAAAAAATTCTAACTACATATAAAATGATGGGATCTAAATTAGCTATTAACACTAAAAAAGAAATCTTGGAATCATCATGGATAGTTCTCTGAAAACATCTGCTCTATGAGCAGCAGCAGTCTAAAAAGCTAACAGAATGTTAGTGACCATTAAGAAAGTTTTAGATAATAAAATAGAAAATATCATCTTGCCACTTCCACTGTAGAAATCCATGGTATGCCTACTCCTTCAATAATGTGTGCAGTTCTGATCAACCTAACTCAAAAAAGATACATTAGATTGGAAAAGATACAGAGAAAGGTAACAAAAAAGATTAGCGATATGGAACAGTTTCTATATGAGGAGAGATTTAAATGAGTAAGAAAGCCCAGTTTATGAAAGAGATGACTAAGGTGGGGAAGTGGGCATAATAGAGGTATATAAAATCATGAATGGTATGGCAAAGGTGAACAGAGAACTCTATTATTAACCCCTTCACACAACCAGAACTAGGTGTCACCCAATGAAATGAAAAACAAATCAAAGGAAGTACTTCTTCACGCAATACACAGTTAACATGTGGAACTCTTTGCCAGGGGATTTTGTGAAGTTCAAAAGTGTAACTGGGTTTTTAAAAATAATTAAATACGTGCATGGAGAATAAGTCCATGCTCTGATGGATATCCTAAAACCTCCAACTGTCAGAGGCTGGTATGGATCACTTAAAGATTGTCTGTTCTGTTAATTCCCTCTGATGCATCTGGCAGCAGCTACTGTCAGAAGATAGGATACTGTGGTAAATGGATCATTGGTGTGACCCAGGATGCCCATTCTTATGATAATTTTTTGTAACTGACGCAGGGATATGCACCTAAATTTTCAGAGATTCTGAAACAACTGCCTCATCCACTTCAAAAGTGCTAATCCCAGAGTTTGTTGTGTATTTTAAAAACTTTCTAGCTAACATGCTTTTAAATACTAGCATAGGAAGGCAAGTAGTGCTATAAAGTTGTCAGTTGGTAGATATGAACTCTTGGTTCCCCATAGGGTTCACTTCAAGACAAGCCAGGAATTAATATAAAGTACAAGCAGAAACACTGTGTTTTAATAAAACCCTTTCACACCCTTATACCACACAAAAAAGTGCTAAAATGAATTTCTCCCTTGAAAATCACTTATGGGGCAGAGGACCTTAAGGCTTGAGCCAGACTCTTCCAAGTCTATGGTAAAGATTCTATTAACCTCAAAGGACTGTGGATCTGGCTCTTTATGAAGGCATTCTGAACCACAGGTGAAACAAAAGACAGAACTATGCAGCACTTTAAAGACTAACAAGCTGCATAGTCCTGTCTTTTGTTTCAGCAAGACCAGACTAACACGACTACATCTCTATTACTGAACCACAGGTGACATTCACCAGTAATGAAGGAAAAAATAAAAGGAGAGGGGGATGTTTTGACATATTTTTAAAGCTTTGCACTTTCCCTTTGACCTAGCTTTTAGTTTGGATCAGAGATTTATCTTTATAACATTTTTAATGATAAAAAACCTAGAAAATTAAATATAATGTATGGATTAAATGCTATTAACAAAATGAGCAGAGCTGTTTTTTTCATATGCAACTGGGCTACAAATAGCATAATTAACTATAACATTCCTATACACTATTGAAATGTATTTTTCAGGGTAATGTCTATGACCACCATAGTCAATTGTTCATGATTTATATTTAGTGCCAGTAATAAGCTTCAGGCAACATTTTATAGAATACAAGACGACTTACCTGGCATTGGTTGGGTCCTTCAGGGCAGAGAGCTGGTGGTGTGGAGGCTGCAGGAGTCAGGGCAGGGGCTTGGTGAGTGGGGGACTTAGGGCAGGAGGCTGAGGGTGCAGAAACCAGTGATGGGTTGAGGAGGGGCTCAGAGTAGGGGATGGGGGATGAATGAGTCAGGGGAGGAGGTTGGGAGCAGGGGGGGCTCAGGGAAGGAGGCAGCTCAGGGAAGGGGTGGCCACTGGCTGACCTGGGACGGCAGGAGCAGTGCACTCAGCCTGTCGGATTCTCCCCATCCAGCTTTCCCAGGGCCAACCAAGGGGCCATACATCCCATCACTGGGTTTCTCCCACAGTGGGAGGGGGCATGGGACCTGCCCATTGGCTTTTCTCCCTGCTTGGGGACAGCAGGGGTCACACAAACTGCCTGCCAATGCTCCCCAAGAAGCAGCCATGCTACACAGGCCTCCCATCAGCTTCTCCCTGGGGGCTGCAGGGGCCTTACAGGCCACCTGCTGAAGCTCCTTGAGTCTGGGTCTGTGCTGCCTGCCAGTGACTGCTCTCTGGGGCACTTACTGCCCTCCTATGATCATGTGTGAGTATAACTGTCCCTGTTCTCTCACAATCCCATTTCACACACATCCCAAGTATCCTGCCACAACCAAACTCTGACCATGCTTTAATAAGTTATAATAAAAGGAAGCTGCATACTAAATTTGGTGGTCCTAGCTCTTACTGTTTAGGTGGAGTGGTTGAAAAAATGGACTCATAGAGGGACATTCCTAAAATATAAAGTAAGATCATCTTCAGGCTTTCTTTCTGGATAGGTTTAAATGTCTAAAATGTAACAACCATAACAAGATCCGTTTTGTCACTTGCCAAACTAGAAAAGGAAATGCTTTTGGCAGTTTGAGATAATGGGTCCTGCACCCAGGTGGTAACATTGGAAGAAAGGGAGAATTATAAACACTGGGTTGTCTGCACTTGGGATTGTCCTGCTAGGTCAAATGTTTGCATCATGCCCGTTGTTGGGGCTGAAATAGTTTTGGGGGACTGTATAAAGTGTTTCCCCATGTTTCTCTGCAAAACATATTGCAGAGAAAGCCAATGATTTTGAATAGCGAAAAGTACGCTGAGGCGGGGTGAACAAGTGTCCCTATCGGTTATAAGCAATGGATTTTTGGGAGCATACGGAGAAAAACTGTCAGCTTAACAAAAATCACCCAAATTAACTCCGCCGCCTGGGCTGCAGAGAGGCAGTGGGAGGAGAAGTCTGTGGACTTAATCCTTCCCTGGTGTAACCGAAGCGCAGGGGAGCGGGCCCGTTGTTCACCACCCAACCGCGGGACAGGCTGCACCGTCCAGAGGAACTTCCCGGGCTCTCCTCGGAGGGGGGAAGCCCGCCGACCGGCTCGGGCTGGAGGCGGACGGGATAAGCCCGGTGTGAGGAGATGGCGGGTGGGGGCGTCGCACAGACCCCACAGACCGGGAGGCAGCGCTTCCCTCAGAGAAGCCGGGGGAGGGGGAGGGGGACGCTCGACAAGGCGGGAGCTGCCGCGGTTCCCCACAGCGCGGCGCGCTCCGCCGGCGGCTCCCTCCAACTTTGGCGGCCCCGAGCCGGCGTGGCGGAGACTGAGGGCTCCCCCTGCGTCCCCCGCCCATGGTTCGCCATGAGCGCCGACTGCACCAGCTACCTCGGCGCCGACGGGCTGCTGGTCGGCGGCTTCCGCTGCCCGCGGGCGGACGGCGAGGCCAGCGCCGTGTACTGCTGCGGCTTCCAGGACGTCAAGTACTGCTGCGATGACCCCCACAGCTTCTTCCCCTACGAGCACGGCTACATGTGGTGGCTCAGGTGAGAGCGGCTCCCTCCGCCGGCCGACCCGCCCCGCGTGTTGGGGGCCGGGGCACAGACCGCCCCGGGCGCTGGGTGAGCGGGAGAGGCGCCCTAGGGGGCACCGAGGGTGGGGCTGGAGGGCTGAGGCGTTGGCTGAGAGGGGTCGGCGCGGGGCTGCTGGCACAGACCCACCCGCCCCGGCGCTGGGAGGGGCCAGCCGGCAGCACAGACCCTGCAGCTTTGCCTTGGGCACTGGGGGCGCATCAAGGGACATAGGATCTTCAACCCCGCCCTGGGTGTTGGGCCAGGTACGTGCAAGAGGCAGGGGCCCGGAGCCTTTGGGGTTAGGGTTAGAAAGCCCCAGGAGACTTTCTGCCCTTTGACTGGGGCAGTGTAAAGGCGCTTTCAACGCTGATGTTAACTGTCTCATGGAAAAACACTTTCAGCGGCACAGAGAGGCTTTAAAAACTGCGTCTGGAAACTTAATCTCCTCTCAGCGATGTCCCTCCCACCTAGCCTGAGACTTGCAGCTGTGCACTTGCAGTCCGGACCTGTGAAGAGTGCTGTTTGTTCAGCTTCATGTGTGTAATGGGGATGTAATAGTGTCGTCGATTAACAGATAAGCAAAAGCAAAATGCTATAGATTACACACATTCTCATCTCCCCTGTCCCCAGCACTAATTTTTTTTAGCATAGCAGGCTGGCCAGTGGCCTGGCTCTCGCTGGGTCCAGGAGCTTAGCCCCCCAACGACAGGGACTGCTACCACCCTGTGCAGCTGCCTCTGTATCAGAGGTAGCAGCACAGAGCAACAGGCAGCTGGTCCATGAGGCGAGCTGGTTTTAAACTGGCTCCCTTCGTGGACCAGCTCCCGCCTGGCACCCCAGCTGCTGTCTCTGATACAGAGGCAGCAGTGCGGAGTGGCAGGGGGCTTCTCTGGAGCGGGGCCAGAGCATACTGGCTACTGGCCCCACCTCCAGGGACTAAAGAATAGTCAAGTAACCAGTAAGATTGCATGAGGTTAATAGACTATTCAATTAACCAATATTTAACATCCCTAGTGTGTAATTGTTGGAATGACAGTTGTTGTTTTTTATATTTGCTGTACCCAGGTATTTTTAAGTTCTCCTTCCTCTCAAGATAGTAATGGCAGAATTACAGTTATTAAAATTAAGGATCTTTTTACAAAAGTTCCAGGCACAGATAAATATTCATTGCTGCTGTTTCATTAATACATTTGGAAACAGTGAACATGCATGTGTGTGATCGCTGATTGCCTACCCCACCACCATTTTGAACCTAAAATGAGGGGAATTACTGTCAAAAGCATGAGAGCTGATCCTGTTAGCTTGGGCTCTTGAGCATGAAGTTCCGGTTGACTTCCATGGAATTTTCAAGTGTGGAAGCTCTAAGGATTCAGCCCTTGATGTGCATGCTAGGAATGGGAGATGCTTGGAAACTTACAAATTATATCTCAGTAGACCTAGTTCTGCAGGGTTCCTTGCAGCCTCTACTCCAGAGGGACAAGTGAGGAGAAGTTGAGGTCAACAGCATCTCTCCGGAGGAGCTCAGCACTGTGTGGGATCAGATTCCAAATATTTGTACTGTTTCCATCTCAGACAGAACTAAAGATTAAGGAAACTTTTAGGGACAGGCATGAGTGATACTATGGAAACACACTCCTGTAGGAGGAATTCTGTAACGCAAGTACCAAGAATAATAAAAACAGCAAATTGGAGTGAATTTGCCGAAACCTTTGCAGATAGATTCGTGAGTGTGTGTATGTCTGTCTATCCATCCTCTATTGCCTTAAGGGCTTCCTTAAGGCATTACCAACATTAATTCAAATAAATATGTACTATAGGCAGTGAAACTGTTTTGTAACAAACAACTGAGATGTTTTGATTCTTTTTTTCCCCTCCCAAAAAGCATCTGCTTTTTGTAGAAAACTGGGTTTGGTTTTGTTTACCCACTAATTATTTCCCACTGCTATAAACTAACTCATAGGACCTTTGTTTGGGCTATCCACTTTCAGATGCCACTAGTAACATCATAGCAGTTAGGAAAGATGTTAGGTTGAGTCAAGATATGTTAGGTTGAGTCAATAAGTTCTTGGTTGAGGTCCTATGTCCACTTTCATTTCATTCATTCTCATCACTGTCTCTTTTCCTTTTTGTTCAACATTTGGTAATCTGCCTGAAGATCCTTGAAGTACAATTTGAATTGCTAAAGTAGTTGAAAATGATACTATGCAGTACACTGAAAAGAAAGAAAATTGGGACTGTGTAAACTGCTTTGTAAAAATGAAGAAATTGTGGGCACACTAGAAATAATATATTTTGTCTTGTGCAGTAAAAGACTAATGTCCTTTTTTGCACTAAAACTAGAGAGCAAAATTATCTATTTGTATAAATCCATTGCACCAGCAGGGAATCTGATCCTGAAATCAATAGAATAGCAGAAGGGAATTTGGCCATAAATCTTGAGGAGGTGTCTATTTCTTCCTCTGTCATGCTAGGCACTCTGCCAAAGTCACCAATTTCAACCAAGAATGTTTGGTTTGGACTCCACTGTGATTGTTAGAATCTTTTCTCTATCAGACAGAGGGTTAATATAAAACAAAATGAGTTTTTCTATCACCTCCCTCTCAGCAATGAATGTGTCACTTGGAAGCACTTGTCAGATGCTGGTGTGTAAAGAGGCTGCATGAGAACAAACTGTTTCAGCAAGTTGACTCCTCCTTAGATAATATTTTTCCAGTATTTGCCTCCAGATTGTTAGGTGATGGATACTCATGTTGAAAGATGAATCATTGCAACCAAGGGGGACTAGTTCTAGGGCCAAGAGTTATATGCAGTCACTCACTAAAACTCTGATGTGAGTTGTCTAGACTGCAGGCTTTGTTTGGAAGAAGCTTTTCCGGAAGAGATCTTCTGGAAAATCTTCTTCCAAAAGAGAGCATCCACACTGAATGGACGCTATCTCACATTTCAGCTGTGATAACTGTGGACAGAGTGGCCACCAGGACACCTGTGCTTTTTCCTCTTTCCTCTTCTTTTGAAATAACTCCCTCTTCCTCATCCACACACTCCTTTTTCCAATAGAGCTCTTTCGGAAAAAAGGCTTCTTTCTTGTAGAATGAGGATTACCAATGTTGGAAAAAAACCCCTCTGTTCTTTTGATTTTCTTTTGGAAGAACGCGATTGCAGTGTGGATGTAATTGATGTTTTTCCAGAAAAAATTCTGTAGTATAGACATACCCTAAGTGAGGAGGGAGAATGCTGCCAGTAATAAGTCATGTTGCACTCTTCCGGGAAAACCACATTTCATTCAGCAAAATAGATCAGATGTTCTAGGCTAGGGGTCAGCAACTTTTCAGAAGTGGCATGCCAATATTTAACTTTCCCAATCCCATTCAGTGCAAGCCCTGCCCCCTCCCATCCTGTCTCTGCATCCTCTTTCATTCTCCTCCCATTCCCACATCCCTGTGCACGCAGCGCACACACAGGCAGGGCAGCAGTGCTGGGACTCGCAGCTCCCTGGGAGCTGTGCTGGGGCGAGGAGACGCCAGGAGGGCAGAGTCACATCCCTGCCCAGCCTAGGTCCCGGGGCTTGCTCCTCACCTGCAGGCTGTGGCTCCCAGGACTGGGTCAAGCAGAGCCCAGGATGCTCAGGTCTGTCTCCAGCCCCCGGCTAGGCATAGCAGGGCGCTGGGAAAGGGTCTCCCTGCCCACAAAGAGCGGCCATGGCTTAGCCGGTGCCCCATGGAAGTGGCAGCAGTGTGTGACTGGCCGCGCCACCCCAATCTGTGGAGTAGTCCCAGCTCCTCCCCCTCCTAGAGCAGGAGGCAGAGCCTGTAGCGGGGGTGGGCGAGAGGGGTGTTAACCCCTTACCTCCTGGGAGCTGCATGCCCCCACCAGGGTGTGCAGCACCTGAGGGAACCGTTAGCTGTTCAAAACAGCTGGTGATTCTCTCTAGGAACCACATGCCCCTGTCAGGGTGGGGGCAATAAAGACTTCACATGCTTCCCCACCCTAAGGCCAATCAAGGTCAGTGAGTAGGGGAGCACGGGAAGTTTCCTGTCCCTATCTCTTCCACCCTAGGCCCTGCTCCTTTTAGGGTGGCCCCCCTCTTCAAAAATTATTGCCCAACCCTGATATAGGACACCGCTTCCTCAGGAATAATAGGCAGAGAAAAATATATTTAAAATGTATCCACTAGGACTGAGGTTGACATGGACATAGGAGACAGATTTGCTGAGTGTCTCTGGGTAAGGTTAAAAGGGGTAAAAAGCCAGGATGATGTCATTGTAGGGCTCGATTACAGAGCACCTAACCAGGAAGAAGAGGTAGATGAGGCCTGGGAGTGCACAAAGTCTCTTATTCCCTGCACAGGGTGCATGGTGCTTAGAGAAGCCCTGGCATGCTCCCCCATCCCCAGGTCTCAATTGGCCTGGGATTGGAAGAGTGGCTGCAGGCTAGATCAACTAGCTTTGTAAGCCAGATCCAGCTTGAGGAGGCTGTCTTTCCCACCCCCATTCTGTACCCCTGTTCTGGGGAGACAGGATGTGAACCTATGATCCTGTCCTCCCAGGCAAGCACCCTATCCCCTAGGCCACACAAGAACCCTCTAGAACCCACCCCACCACAGGGAAGCCCCTTATCCCGCCTGCCCCAGAGCCTCCTGGCTGTCCCCCGACCTGCCAAGGTGGCACTTGCACCCATGACCCCGTCCTCCCCTGGTGAGTGCCCTAGCCCCTACGCCACGCAGGACCCCGCTCCAACACCTTACCGTGGGGAGGCCCCTTATCCCGCCTCCCCCAGGGCCGCAACACTTTCCCCCACTGCGTATTATCCCACCAAGTCTCTGTGATACCAACTATATTGTGTTTATTTAATAGCATTGCAAGTTCTTCCTTCTTATTCCCCATATTTCTTGCATTAGTATAGATACTGATTTGATTTTGGCCCCCAATTCTGCCTTATCTCTCTTTTTATTCCTGCTATTATAGCCCATGCTC